CTCTAATACTTTACTATGAATTACTTGGCATTCTGTATTGAGATAGGAGTCAGAAAATGATGAGTCAGGTGGAATAAAGTTAGCTACTGCTTTGCATAAATATGTAATAAGTGAGCAATCTAACCACACAAGATGCACTGGTTGCAGTAAAAGAAAATAAGAAGCTATCAAAGGTGATTCTTATAGCCATTAAACATGAGCCTTTGACACATCCTGACAGTGCAAACTCTGTCATCTTTTGGTTATTAAAAAAAACGAACAAACAAACCCATTGCCATCGAGTCAATTCTGACTCATAGAGACCCTATAAAACAGAGTAGAACTGCCCCCATAGAGTTTCCAAGGAATGCCTGGTGGATTCAAACTGCCAACCTTTTGGTTATAGAAATAATCTTCAGCTGAATTTCTATTAAGTATTTAATGATCATTCAGATATTTACCTTCAGTAGAAAAATGGCTGTCTTAGTCATCTAGTACTGCTGTAACAGAAATACCACAAGTGGATGGCTTTAACAAAGAGAAATTAATTTTCACACAGTCTAGTAGGCTAGAAGTCCAAATTCAGGGCATCAGCTCCAAGGAAAGGCTTTCTCTGTGGCTCTGGAGGAAGGTCATTTTCATCAATCTTCCCCTGGACTAGGAACTTCTCCTTACAGCAACCCGGGTCCAAAGGACCCGCTCCTCTCCCAGCACTGCTTTCGTGGTGGTATGATGTCCCCAACTCTCTGCTTGCTTGACTTTCCTTTTATCTCTTGTAAAATAAAAGGTGGTGCAGGCCACACCTCAGGGAAACCCTTTATATGAGAGCAGGGATGTGACCTTAGTAAGGGTGTTACAGTTTCACCCTAATCCTCTTTAACATAAAGTTACAATCACAAAATGGAGGACAACCACACAATACTGGGAATCATGGCCCAGTCAAACTGATAAATTTTTGGGGGGACAAAATTCAATCCATGACAATGGCTTTAGCTCTAATGCAGCAAATTTGAGTTTATCGTATGGACTACCAAATGTATTTTAAACTTGTTGATAATATTTATCTTATCCACATGTTAATAATCCCATTTACATAAATACTTATATGCACATGCATGTAAGGGCCTTATATTACACTGAGACCTTCTAAAAATGAAACTGTATCTTTTTAATGTGATTATGTACATGACACTGAGTAATCTCCTGCCCAGGCAGTAAGGTATTCAAGATATTTCGAATCTCAAACATGTTTTCTTTGTTGAGAAATTGAGAATGATGTTTCCGGGGTGTTTTTATCTTTTAAAATGTAAATCAGGTAAGAAATTGACTAAGAAGGTTTTTGGGAAGGGAGTCATGGATGATAAGAGAAGGCAGAAAAATAGAAGGGGAAGAGAAACTAAGGAGGTATGACCAAAGAACAGCTTAACATGGAATAATTTCAAGAGCTGTTGAGGTGCACGGATTCTAGCATTCCCTGCTGCTCAGTGTGAATTAGGGATCCTTAGCCTTAAGAAAACACTTAAGCTACTCCAGGGTTTTTGAACAAGTGAGCTCTGGAAAGGCTGCTTATCCTGTGCGCCTTCTGTAGCTTCACAATGCATATGGCATATATAAAAGGCTCTGAGGCTTCCTGTGCTAGAGAACCCCATTTCACCTTGTATTCAAACACCAGCATTTTCCTAATTTATTTCATCACAGACCTTTTTTTGTTACCATATATCGAGTGGTTCTGCGGAACACAGTTTTCAAACAACTTATCTACAAATTCAGGTGACAACACTCAACGTTTATTTGTGCCTGTTAACCCCATTCATAATCATACTTACTCGATGTCAGTTGCAGGACCCTTCTAAAGGCAAAATGAAAGAAAACCAGGGTATTTGCTTTGTATTAATTAAGTACCTAATGGCATGGGAGGAGGTATTATTATCATAACATATTCATTTTCTTCCAAAACTTGAGTAGAGTGTGAGTTTCTGCATCTTTTTAAAGGCAAGTGTAGCAAACGGGTAAATTAAATTCCTATCTTCTTGTTGACTTTTTAAATAGATTACCTGAGGGTGTTTATGCCATTAAAACAGATGATTAACATAAGGTGAATATTTTCCAAAGTATGGTTCCTTTTTTGGGAGTGAGGAAAAATCACTTTTACTATTTACACAAATCCCAGTTTTCTAAGAATTGCTTTCCTCCCAAAGGCCAAAGATGTGGACTTCACCCCATTGCTGGTGAGTCCATTTTGGCTCCTAGTGACTCTATAGGACAGAGTAGAACTGCCCCATAGGATTCCCAAGACCGTAATTTTTACAAAAGCAGACAGTCACATCATTCTCCAGCAGAGTGGCTGGTGGGTTGAACCTCCGACCTTTCGGTTAGCAGCAGAGCACTTAACCATCAGAGCTACTTTGTGGACTTAAACCCTGTATATTACCTCTGTTTCAGGATTTCAGAGTGTCAGTTCTAATTTATCACCCATAAATTTGTGTATTTCTCACACACTCACACTTCAAAACAATAACCAAAAAAGATCAAACCCATTGCTGTCTAGTTGATTCCAACCCATAGCGACCCTGTAGGACAAAGTTGAACTGCCCAATAGGGTTTCCAAAGCTTTAATATTTATGGGAGCAGAATGCTACGTCTTTCTACTGTGAAGCCTCTGGTGGATTCCAGTCACCGACCTTTTAGTTAGCAGTTGAGTGCTTAACCTAGCAGCCGAGTGCCTATCCACTGCACCACCAGGGCTCCTCTTTCAAAACAATACACCAAACCCATTGCCTTCGAGTCCATTCCGACTCACAGCGACCCTATAGGACAGAGTAGAACTGCCTCATAGGGTTTCCAGGCTGTAATCTTTACAGAAGCAGACAACTTTCTCCAGCCAAGCTGCTGGTGTGTTCGAACCATCAACTTTTTGGTTAGCAGCCAAGCACTTAACTACTGCACCAGCAGGGCTCCTTTGCAAAACAATAGCAAGGATACATTCAGAGAAGTGCTACTTGTTAGTTTGCAGAATGTCCACACTTCTTGACCTATGATGAGGACTTTTCCAGTTCTGCCGCTTATCATTTTATGAACATTTTACTTACCACAGTGAAAAATTCATCCTTGCATCCACGTGGAATATCGTTGATTTCTCTTGCATTCTTCCTATCTCCCCATGTACTGTTCACTCACCCTGAAAATCCTCCCCACTCTTGTCCTCCTAGAAAAGTCCTACTTATTCTCAAAGCTCTAGTTAAACGTTATCTTTCTCTGATGCTTACCCTGATGCCTGCAGACGATTAGTCATTTTGTTCAAATCTTTATTATTGTACTAATCATGTTCAGCTGTAACTTTCTCTTCACATGTCTTGCTAATCAAGAATTGTTATCAGTTACCTCTATTTTTCCAGCGAAGACTTTCACACACGCCATCGCATGCTGTTTGAGTACATAGGTTATTTTTGTGTAATGACTAAACCACGTAAGATTCTGGTGACATCACAGTCAAAGTAACTATCTTGTAAGAGTACTTTATTTAGTTACAGGAATAGTTTAAATAGTAGGAGGATATACTCTGTGACATGGGCATTACACAGAATTATTGTTTACAAGTCCGTAGATCAAATCTATAGGCTACTTTTGTGGTGCTCTGGTTAAAGATAGTTTTAAAACATTAAATTAGTTGCCAACATTTTATATTTGGAACATTTCACATAAAAACAATGAGTTCTGATATCTCTTCAAAATTGGGCTTAAAATCTTAGGACATGGGGCCCGCATTACCACATGGCAAAAATTCAATTGGCCTGAGTGTCTGGGATCCCTCTCCAATTCACTTAGTTCACTTTTATACCCAGTCCACTTCATTTTTTTCTATTATCTAAATGACCCCCTAAGTATTTGAGTTTGTGATCCCTTATCTCGTTTATTGTATTACTTATCAAGTAATACATAAGAATACATAATGAAAAAATATTTTCCAGACTCCTGGCACAATAATTTTTCATTTTACCTTTTTATCATAGTCAGCATTATCCTAATTTACACTATCCAAAAGTGTAATACTTTTATTAAGATGCTTAATACGAATTCTATACAAAGAGTAAGTCTATGTGTCTTGATCAGTTCTTTTATAACTTCTGGACAATATAATTCTGTAATGAAGAAAGCTGAACGATATACACATGATGCTAGAAAGCTTCTGGTCAAATTTGTGTTTCACCATCAGCACAAATTCGCAGAGGTCTGTTTTATACCTTAAGCTCCTTAAATGCTTTCTGGGATAAATTAAGAAAATAAATGGATAAGCAAACTACGATTTAAAACATACTATGATATAAAATTTGGGGACTCTCCTTTCCCCTATCCATGTCTCTCTTGCTTTAGTCATACATACTCTCCTAACTAAAAATTTTTTCATCAGTGACTCCTATGTGCTTTAGTCTTTCCAAATATGTGGACCTTATCTTTGGTCTATTCACATACAAATGGCACTAAGTCCTGAATCCTGGGGCAGTCAAACTGGCCTTACAGATTCTCCGTAGAAATGCTCTAATTATGGGCTCTCTAATGCAGCTGGTAGGGAGTGCACTTTTCAATTGTGCAGTTTCTATGGGTTATTTCTCTTAACACTGCAATCATTCTTAAAGACTGTATGAGTGTTTTCCAAACACATGACCTCACTTTTGTCCAGAACTAGTCCTAGACTCAAAGAATAATGATTTTATAGTGAACTACACCTGAAAGTTGGTAGTTCAACCTATTTTTTGACAAATTTCAGGTCATAATTTCTCCACTCCAAAACAATTTGGTTGCATAGGAACAGTTCTATTTAGAAATCATCTGCACAGTATACATCCAGCTAATTGGGGCATGGCTTTCTGGGGACTACTAGCTCTTACATTCTCAGACTATCTTTAGAAATAGCTGTGTGTTAGGGTGAATAGGAGAGGAAGAAAAAGACGGGGGTGGGGGAGAATCATATGATGGACTTCTCATTCACTTTCTTAATTTATTTTAATTCTTCTAAGTGAGCAATGCTGGTACCTAAGAAAATGGCCAAAGGAAATTACACCTTGGTGACTGAATTTATTCTCTTGGGATTAACGGATCTTCCAGAGCTTCAGCCTATCCTCTTTTTGCTGTTCCTGGTGATCTACTTGATCACTATGGGAGGGAGCGTTGGGATGATGTTGTTGATCAGGATAGATTCACGCCTCCACACCCTCATGTACTTCTTTTTTGCCAGTTTGTCCTGCTTGGATTTATGCTATTCTACTAACGTGACTCCCAAAATGTTGGTGAACTTCTTATCAGAGAAGAAAATCATCTCCTATGCTGCTTGTTTAGTCCAGTGTTATTTTTTTATTGCCATGGTGATTACTCAATATTATATGCTAGCTGTAATGGCCTATGATAGGTACATGGCCATCTGTAACCCTTTGCTTTACAGCAGTAAAATGTCCAAAGGGGTCTGTATTCACCTGATTGCCAGTCCATATGTCTATGGGTTTCTTAGTGGCCTGATGGAAACCATGTGGACATACCGCTTGACCTTCTGTGGCTCCAACATCATTAACCACTTCTATTGTGCTGACCCACCCCTCATCCGACTCTCCTGCTCTGACACTTTCACTAAGGAAACCTCCATGTTTGTGGTAGCAGGATTTAACCTCTCCAACTCCCTCCTCATATTCTTCATCTCCTATATCTTCATTCTCATTGCCATCTTGAGGATGCATTCTGCTGAAGGCAGGCACAAAGCTTTTTCCACCTGTGGATCCCACCTGATGGCAGTGACTGTGTTTTATGGGACTCTGTTCTGCATGTATGTTAGATCTCCCGCGGATAAGTCAGTGGAACAGTTGAAAATCATTGCTGTTTTCTATACCTTCATAAGCCCTATGTTGAACCCTGTTATTTATAGTCTGAGGAATAAGGATGTGAAACAAGCTTTTCGAAAACTGATCAGAAGAAACGTGCTTTCAAAGTAAAATCACACTGTATCTTTCTTTATAAATCAAATAAAATATTTTTATAAGAACCGGATCCAAGGTTAACAACATTTATGGTAAAGTCAATTTTGAATACACCACGAGAAGCTATAATGTAATTACAAAATATAAAGGACGTGGAAAAGGAAGATTTAGAGTTGTACATGTGAGGTATGAGGTCAACAGTGTGAGGAGAGATCAATAGTGTGAGGGGAGAGGGTAATTACTCTTCCTAGTTTTGCACTGTAAAAATTATATATTCTCATAGTAAAACATTCTCTCTCTTTAGAAAAGTATAAGTAAAAAAACAAAACAAAACAAAACTCCTTTTTCCTTTCCCCGTCCTGACCTGCCAGTTTCACTTCCCAAAGTTTACCACTATTAACAGTTTCCTTAAAGAGCTCAGTTGCTAACCAAAAGATCAGTGCTCCAAATCCACCAGCCGCTTCTTGGAAATTCTATGGGGCAGTTCTACTCTGTCCTATAGGGTAGCTATGAGGCAGAACCAACTCAACAGCAATGGATTTTTTTTTGTTTGTTTGTTTAAGTTTCCAGAAATTTTATATAGATCTAGAAACAAATGTACGGGTATACATGTACACATATACACAAAATTTCTAATGCACATACTGACTTATGAGCTAATTTTTAGGGTTTATGATTCTATAGAATTTACTCTGCAGGGGCTTCTCACGATGATTTAGAAAAATGTGACAACTGCTCACTATACTTGCTGTCGCTTCTGGAAGAAGAAACTCATAAACCCATGCCTACCACCCACATACTTCTCCCCACTTGGGAGAGTCACTCTCATGACAACTTCCTATTCCCACCCCAAGAGGAAACCAGAATCAGAACTTCCTAACAATTCTTTTTAGATTCTTAACTCCTGAAATCAGCAAAGACTAGCTCTTGCATATATGCAATTCCAGAAGGAATTGTGACTTTTGTAGCATTTATCAATGCCATTCCACACTTCTAGAATCTGTGGTCCTTCATGCTTCTCTTATCTCTTCCCTATTAACCTATTTTCAGGATAGAATAGATATTCAATGTTTGGACCATAGTTGTAATTTTACCCAGAATTGTACTCTGCCGCAATTAGCTATTATTTATTTAAATCGAGAATGAAAGGTGTTGACCAGTTTGTAAGAATTTTAATGCTAAATAAAGCAAATCACAAGTTGATATTTTAAGGTGTAACATATCTGGTGACTTTGAAGCTTCATAGCATAAACAAATGTGATGAATGTCTACTGAGCATCTATACTAAGTCAAGTACTGCCCCCGGTACAGAGGAGTGGTGCTGTAGGATTGTATACTTTTGTAAAGGAGATGAAAATGTAAATAGGAAAAAAAATACAATTTTAAATGCTGTAATATAAATAGATGGAATGGTTGGTGTAGCAGAGGAAAGAGGCAATTTAATTGGAACTAAACCAAATCTGCTGCCATGGAGTCGATTCTAACTCATAGTAACTATAGGACAGAGTAGAACTGCCCCACAGGATTTCCAAGGCTGTAATCTTTATGAAAGCAAATTGCCTCATCTTTCTTCAGCAGAGCTACGGTTGGGTACAAACTGTTGACCTTTTGAGTAACGGCCAAGCTCTTAACCTCTGTGCCACCATGAAAACCAAACCCATTGCCATCGAGTATTCTGAGTCATAGTGACCCTATAGGACAGGGTAGAACTGTCCTATGGGGTTTCCAAGCCTGTAAATCTTTACAGAAGTAGACTGCCACATCTTTCTCCTGAGGAGTGGCTGGTGGCTTCAAATCGCTGAACTTCTAGGTTAGAAGCCAAGTACTTTAACCACTGTGCCGCCAGGGCTCCTAAACTGAGACTAGGATTGCGCAAAACAAGAGCTTCTTCACCTTTGCGCACCCCAAGCCCCACCTACAGCTTCTAGTACTATGTTAAATCAAACTAGGCAGTGTCTGAGCAAAGTGTTATAACTGATTAGTAATCATATATGTGGTGATACTTTCAGTTAAAAGGAAATGCCACAGAACTGTAATTAGCCAATGCCCCTGATTGATACATTTTCCTTAGCTGTATTTCAAAGCTTCCTTTCTACTTTAGAATTGATTTCTGTTCAATATTTCCTATAGAATAAGATTTGCAGATTCATTGATCGGGTATTATTCCATTACTAGTCTTTGTTATTTAAATGACTTCCTTTTGAAAATCAGGTTGTCTAGAAATTCTCTCAAAACACACAGAAAAAGATCTACTTTTGTGAGGTTTACCTCCAATTAATAGGTTGTTGGATTTCTACTTACTCCCATGTATTACTATTTAAACACACACACATATTATGCAAGGCCAGCACCCTTATTATCACAACTTTTTTGGGCTCAGGATCCATGCCTCTATCTTTACAGTTTAGTATAGTTTCTGACACCAAATAAAGACTCAATAATGGTTCCAGCACTAAAAATATACAAGTATCTCCATTTTGAAAGTGAACAGAACACCTCCATTTTAGAAAATACTCAAAAAATATCTTTGAATCCACCAACAAATGACCCTAAGATGGTAATTAGTTATTTATAAGACACTAGTACTTTCCAAGTACTGACATCAGCATTATGGAATCCATAGTTATTCCCACATACATTCAAGTTCAAGATGAAAGAGGGATTATACCAAGTGCTTTCATGAATTGACTGACTGGCTGGAATTATACCACCATCCTGTTAAGACAGTCTATTTTATTGTCTATATAGCACAATCAGGGCATATAATAAGTAAATACTCACAAAATGTTTATTAAATTAATGTATTATTTCTGTAGACCCTGACTTTAAAGTAAAATTTAAGGAATAATTCCTTCATTAATGATAAGGGGTTCTCATGAGATTTTTGGAAGAGACCCCTAAATCAAACCCTTTCTCCTCTTAAAGATAACTTTCCTGAAATCAATATTTATTGAGCAAACTGAGCAATATGATGAGGGAAGAATCTGGGAGAAAATAGAACATTTTTATTACTACCTAAGGCACAATAATTATGATAAGATATTTTATTTTTTCTCCCCACCTATCTGAAAGATCCAAACCAAACCCTTTGCCGGCGAGTCAATTCTGACTCATAGCTACTCTATAGGACAGAGTTGTACTGCCCATGGGATTTCCAAGGCTGTAATCTTTTCAGGGAGCCCTGGTGACACAGTAGTTAAGAGCTTGGCTGCTAACCAAAAGGTCGGCATTCGAATCCACCAGCTGCTCCTTGGAAACTGTATATGGGGCTGTTCTACTCTGTCCTATAGGATCACTATGAGTCATAATCAACTCGATGGCACGGTTTGGTTTTGGTTATCTAAAAGATCAGTGCCTTAATGGGTATTTCTGAAAGAAAAAATGCATTCATGTGTCCTTAAAAAAAATAATGTAATGGTGCATGGAATGGTAATGCTACAAGCCTAAGACTTTTATTCAAATATCAGATAATTTTTTTGAAGCACTGGATATCTGAAGATGGTTTAGACACATACATTCACAAAGGCAAAAGAAATGATAATGTTTACCAAAGTTCAGGTACTCTTTTAGAATATGTTGCTTCACTTAATCTTCCCAACAACACAGTGAGTTCAATATTATAATACTCATTTAAAAAATCTTTATTCCATCCTGTCTTAGGCTGGGTTCTCTAGAGAAGCAAAACCAGTAAAATGTATAAATATATACAGAGATAGATTTATATCAAGGAAACAGCTTATGCGATTGTACAGGCCAGAATGTCCCAAGTCCATGGATCAGGATAGAGGTTTCCGCTGCTTCACGTATCTGCAGGGGCTGGTGAACCCAAGATTGGCAGGAAGAAGAGCAAGGCTCTTGTTCATAGGCTGTGAAGATAGACAAATCCCAAGATCAGCAAGTAAGCTGCTGGCTCAAGTCCCAAGAACCGGAGGTTAGATGAATAGGAGGTAGCTGCAGGATTCAGAGAAGGCAAACCCCATTACGTCCACTTATATACAAATGCAGGCCATACTCTTAACGAAACTCCTTTTCAACTGATTGGCTACTCACAGAAGATCCCATCATGGGGGTGATCACATATAAACACTGAGAATCATGGCCCAGCCAAGTTGATACACAATCCTAACCATCACAATCCACCCCTTGTCAACTTGGTACCTGTACACATCTCCCCAAACCATACATAATCTCTGAATAAAGACAAAGTCATACTTGCACCTAACATGATACAACTAACACATGTACAATCAAAAACGCACTAGCTCCATTTACATCTTTTATTTTATAAGTGAAGAAAACAAAAATATTTGATGCACACGTACAAAGCGGAAATACGCATAACAATTACAGTCCTCATTTCTGCTACTGTTCACTGGTATCTGGAACTACCTTGATGTTCATCAGTAAATGCTTCAATTCCTCTTCACTTTCAGCAAGCAAGGTTGTATCATCTGCATATCGCAGGTTATTAATGAGTCTTCCTCCCATCCTGATGCCCCTTTCTTCTTCATATAGTCCAGCTTCTCGGATTGTTTGTTCAGTATACAGATTGAATAAGTATGGAGAAAGGTTACAACCATGACACCCATGTTTCCTGAATTTAAACCAGGCAGTATCCCCTTGTTCTGTTCGAATGACTACCTCTTGATCTACATACAGTTTACTCATGAGCACAATTAAGCTTTCTGGAATTTCCATTCTTTGCAATACTATCCATAATTTGTTATGATCCACATAGTCGAATGTCTTTGCATAGTCAATAAAACACAGGTAAACATCTTTCTGGTATTCTCTGCTTTCAGCCAGCATCCATCTGGCTCAGCTACTAAATGAAAAGTCGGTGGTCGAACTGACCAGCCACTCCAAGGGGGAAAGATGTGGCAGTCTGCTACCATAAAGATTACAGACTTGGAAACCTTACAGAGTCATTATGAGTCAAAATTTGTCTCAATGGTAATTGGTTTGGTTTTTGGATTTAGAGATTATGATATTGGCTTTATAAGGTAATGAAAATTAGAAAACATTTATATAAACCACATTGAGGGAATTCCAAATGTGTACAATTTTTTTCATGTATAATTTGCTTTTATTTCTGTAAACTGAATTCATCTGGAAATGTTCAGAATAAATCAGACCAGAGGGAAGGAATTTAACTTTCTGAGACTGACCGGTTGTCCAGCATCACAGCTTGTCTTCTTTGTCTTGTTTTTAATAATTTGTTTTCTTTTTCTTGTGGGAACTTTGGGCCTAACCTTGCAGATCACACCTTCATACTGTCTCCTCACCAATTTGCCAATCCCACAAATAGTGGTTCGTTTTTGATTGAGAAGACCACTTCCT